GAGATGACCAGAGACTGCAGACATAGTACAGGAGATGACCAGAGACTGCAGACATAGTACAAGGAGATGACCAGAGATGCAGACATAGTACAGAGATGACCAGAGACTGCAGACATAGTACAGGGAGATGACCAGAGACTGCAGACATAGTACAGGAGATGACCAGAGACTGCAGACATAGTACAAGAGATGACCAGAGACTGCGGACACAGTACAGGAGATGACCAGAGACTGCGGACACAGTACAGGAGATGACCAGAGACTGCGGACACAGTACAGGAGATGACCAGAGACTGCGGACACAGTACAGGAGATGACCAGAGACTGCGGACATAGTACAGGAGATGACCCGAGACTGCAGACACAGTACAGGAGATGACCAGAGACTGCGGACACAGTACAGGAGATGACCAGAGACTGCGGACATAGTACAGGAGATGACCAGAGACTGCGGACATAGTACAGGAGATGACCCGAGACTGCAGACACAGTACAGGAGATGACCAGAGACTGCGGACACAGTACAGGAGATGACCAGAGACTGCGGACACAGTACAGGAGATGACCAGGGACTGCAGACACAGTACAGGAGATGACCAGAGACTGCGGACATAGTACAGGAGATGACCAGAGACTGCGGACAAAGTACAGGAGATGGCCAGAGACTGCAGACATAGTACAAGAGATGACCAGAGACTGCAGACATAGTACAGGAGATGACCAGAGACTGCGGACATAGTACAGGGAATGACCAGAGACTGCAAACATAGTACAAGAGATGACCAGAGACTGCGGGCATAGTACAGGAGATGACCCGAGACTGCAGACACAGTACAGGAGATGACCAGAGACTGCTGGCACAGTACAGGAGATGACCAGAGACTGCGGACATAGTACAGGAGATGACCAGAGACTGCAGACATAGTACAGGAGATGACCCGAGACTGCGGACATAGTACAGGAGATGACCCGAGACTGCAGACATAGTACAGAGATGACCAGAGACTGCGGACATAGTACAGGAGATGACCAGAGACTGCAGACAAAGTACAGGAGATGGCCAGAGACTGCAGACATAGTACAGGAGATGACCAGAGACTGCGGACATAGTACAGGAGATGACCAGAGACTGCGGACATAGTACAGGAGATGACCCGAGACTGCAGACACAGTACAGGAGATGACCAGAGACTGCGGACACAGTACAGGAGATGACCAGAGACTGCGGACACAGTACAGGAGATGACCAGGGACTGCGGACACAGTACAGGAGATGACCAGAGACTGCGGACATAGTATAGGAGATGACCAGAGACTGCAGACATAGTACAGGAGATGACCGGAGACTGCGGATATAGTACAGCAGATGACCAGAGACTGTGGACATACTACAGATGACCAGAGACTGCAGACATAGTACAGGAGATGACCAGAGGCTGCAGACATAGTACAGGAGATGACCAGAGACTGCAGACATAGTACAAGAGATAACCAGAGACTGCAGACATAGTACAGGAGATGACCAGAGACTGCGGACATAGTACAGGAGATGACCAGAGACTACGGACATAGTACAGGAGATGACCAGAAACTGCAGACATAGTACAGGAGATGACTAGAGACTGCGGACACAGTACAGGAGATGACCAGAGACTGCGGACATAGTATAGGAGATGACCAGAGACTGCAGACATAGTACAGGAGATGACCGGAGACTGCGGATATAGTACAGCAGATGACCAGAGACTGTGGACATACTACAGATGACCAGAGACTGCGGACATAGTACAGGAGATGACCAGAGCTGCAGACATAGTACAGGAGATGACCAGAGACTGCAGACATAGTACAAGAGATGACCAGAGACTGCAGACATAGTACAGGAGATGACCAGAGACTGCGGACATAGTACAGGAGATGACCAGAGACTACGGACATAGTACAGGAGATGACCAGAAACTGCAGACATAGTACAGGAGATGACTAGAGACTGTAGACCTTGGGGGGGGGGGGGGGGGGGGGTACCCGAAATTGACAGGTACCCACTCCCATTTCTGTGGAGTTGTCTTTCCTGTAGTCTTGTGTGACACGTGACAGGTCTCAGAAGACTACAGGTGGCCATTCACAAAGCGCAGTGCTTCTTACGCATGCGCAGTGGGCACCCTGCTGTCACAGCCGAGTGCCCACACTGAAGATACCGGCGACGGGGAGAGAAGACGGCCAGTGAAAGCAAGACACTGTTGGACCGGGGAAGAGGTAGGACCGAGGAGCAGGTTCTTCTACACAATAGAGCTGAGCGACCGGCCCGGTATTCCAACACGCCGGCGGCGGGAATACTGGGCCGGCTGCTCCATATTCGCTCCATAAGCTGCACAGACATTTTCCCTCATTTTTTTTATTTTCTTGGGGGGGAGTGCGTCTTATGGAGTGAAAAATAAGATATTTCAGTTGCTTATATAGCACCTACTTGGGCCATTTTAGACAGGATCCAAGTCACCTACCAGCATCTGTATGCAGTGTGGGAGGAAACCCACGCATGAACAGGGAGAACATGCAAAGTCCAGGCAGGTATTATCATGGTTGGGATTCAAGCCAATGACCTTAGTTCTGCATGTGCAAGTAAACCAGTGTTTCCATATATTTTGAATAAAGAACAGATCTAGCATTATTTGCTAAAGATATTCCAGCATGCATGAGAATCTCATTGGTTGAGCTAAAAAAATGTAGGAATGGTCTTAAGACATACCATTCATGGTAGGATTTCCTTAAGTATCTCTTCAATATTAGTTGTAATACTTGTTACTGTTGCCTAGTATGAAGCGTAATACAGACAAACAAGTGTATGATAATGAAGTAATCCTAGCAGAGACACTAAAGAAAGTGTCAGGTTGAAAGATGGGAAAAAAATATGCAAGTAAAATGTAAAGACTTGCACAACTTCCACATTGCCAGTTCTTGTAGGTGTCACAGTGAGGTATCCTTGTGTCACTTATGTAACATTGGGTGCAGTCCAGCCTATTCATTATGTTAAATATTAGTACGTTTACTTCACCTTCCCTTCCTAAAAACAATTATATAAATGCTTAGTTAGTATTGTATGTTTATAATGTCACATACTTTGTCATAATTAAATAGACTCAAATACTGTATTCTATTTTTGGGTGGGATCTTTGGATTCCCGTAGGGTGATGAGAATGCTTTGTGAATACTGTGTAATAGGTGCACCTTGTATTAAATGTTTAAGGGCCAGTTCACACCATGAATTGCACAGGAATGCACTCTGTGTCCTGTGCGATTAACATGCAATCCAGGTGCAGTGCGATTTCAGCCCATTCATTAGCATGGGTTGAACTCGAGCACAACTTTAAAAAAGCACAGCAACTGGATCACATGGTACTATTGTACCATGCAATCTGGTGCAGCCAAATGCACTGCATTTGCGACCTGCGCTTGGGGTGCTTACTTAACACTAACACCCACTACAGATTGCATGCGCAGTGCGTTTTGAACACGGTGCCGGAAATGCACACTGAATGCGTGTTCCCGAGTTGCGTTCTCATGTTAATTGGCCATAAAAAACCTATTGTTTTCTATGTGCCCTGTTCACACCATACATGTATGCTGGTGTGCAGAAAAAAAGCAGCTCTATGAGCATTGAATCCTAAGATCTTTCAATGGCTGTGGGTGTTTAAAACCAGAAAATATATGTTGATCGCATTCATCATTTTTTGAGTCACTGAGTAGACGGCCTCCCTTTAGGCTAGGTTCCCATATGTGCGGGTGGTGCCGCTGCGGATCCGCAAAAAAATCCATGCAGCCACACCACCCACACAGAAGAATGCGGACCCGCACTTGAAATCGCTACCGTACTGGGAACCAAGGTTCCCGTGCGGGCTGCATTTTCAGAAGTGCATGGACTTCTTCCCTGCATGTTCATTCAAATGAATGGGCTCTTGTGCCTGCGCAAAACGCGGCCCGCAGGAACGCAGATATGTGAACCAGGGGTAAAACAGATTGGCTAAAACTTTGTCATTTGAACTGATATTTTACATTGCAAGAAATAAATCTCCTAAGCAAGCATGAACTTGAAACATGCAGTAACTGGCCATGTAGAGCATTCAGGAATGTGAAGTATTCATTTAAGGTCAATGTCTACAAGTTGATCTACCTTGCACCTATTCTGTACACAACAGGTTTTCCATGCATTAAGCATAGAGTATAAAAATGATTTTATATAAACTAAGTTTGTTTACAGTATCACCCAAATATAATAGAGCTATATTTATCAGGAACTGCATGGGAAGTAAATATTGATGGGCCCTTATGTGCCCTGTATAGAGTGGTCTTTGGAAGTTGGTGTAGTCTCTGAAGAACTGTGTTAATTTAACACTGAATGCATCAGTTATAGCGACAGCCAGCACCCTAATCCCAGGAGTTATCTAGTCCCCTGGCATGCTATAGGAATCTGCTATTAGCCCTGTCCCACAGTTGAGGAACTCAGTTTTTCAGGGGTGTCAAATTGGCGGCCCTCTAGCTGTTGCCAAACTAAGTCCCGTCATGCCTCTGCCTTTGGGAGTCATACTTGTAATTGTCACTCTTGCAATGCCTCATGGGACTTGTAGTTTGGCAACAGCTGGAGGGCCGCCAGTTTGACACCCGTGGTTTAGAGCTAAAGTAGAATTCCAGGCAAAGCTGAACTACTCTGTTCCTTTTCCCCTCCTAACACCTATTCTGATTAACCTGTGGAATAAAGATCTGTATACTCAGACTGCTCCGGTCCGGTCACGTGATCTCCCTTGCAGAGGCAGATTGACCATTCGAAAACTCGGGCGCTGCCCGAGGGCCCAGGGTCAGTAGGGGGCCCCATAAAATGCCCCTGGTACCTTTTTATAGGCTTTTTTGGGTGTGCTTTGAGTGTGGGCAAGGACACAGGGGCCCCATGATCCCATATTGCCCGGGGCCCCATGAGCTATCAGTCCGCCGCTGCTCCCTTGTGCCAGCCAATGGTGAAGAGAGCGGTTGACAATGGTTGGTAGTGCCTGGGAGCGATGACATCACCCATAGGCTTCTTATGGCTCATCTGTTGTTAGTGCTTCCTCCTGTCCCCTGCAACAGTGCTGGCTGTCAGAGGGGAGCCAGATCACATGACCAGACTGGAGTGGCCTGAAAATAGGTAAGTATACAGATCTTTTCTTACACAGGTTAGGTGTTGGGGGGGGGAGGGAGCATTTTTAGGAGTAGTTAGGTTTTGCCTGGAATTCCACTTTAAGCTGGGTCCCACAATTATTAGAGGTGCCTTGGCAAAGCAGTGTGGCTTCTATGTGTATTTGTAATTGTATTCAACTAGGACAGGGGTGTCCAAACTTTTTTCAAAGAGGGCCAGATTGGATGAAGTGAACATGGTGGAGGGCCGAACATTTTTCCGAACATTCTTTGAACCATTACAATTAAATGCAAATAAATTATTTTATGCCACGTTAATTGCAAACGACATACTTTTCATTTCATAACATTAAGATCAACTGACATCTGAGTTTTCACAATGTATTGAAAATAAATTTAAAAAAAACTAACCTGCACTAATGTGAAGGGTGAAAAAGGTAGCTGGAGCTGAAGTCTCTGCTCGGCAGCCGGGAGGGGAAGAGAAACACACTTCACGCTGGAAGCCCGGCCCTGACGTCACCGCCCTCTGTTGCTCCCAGCACGGCGCAGTCACGCATGCGCACTGCTCTCAAGCAGAAGACTGTCTGCCACAGAAGGGAGGGCCGTGCGACAGCCGCATTTACACAGACCAGGGAGAACGCGCCGCAGTCAGGCATGCGCACTGCCCTATGCTCTCAAACAGAAGACTGTCTGCCATAGAAGGGAGGGCCGTGGGAGGGCCACATTACACAGAGCAGGGAGGGCTGTTGGAGGGCCGTATTAAACCGACCACCGGGCCGTAAATGGCCCGCGGGCCGGACATTGGACATGCCTGAACTAGGACCTCTGGTTTTACCCTGAGTAGTTAATTAGATCTGTTTATTTGTTTTCTGGCTAGCTTGAAACGTGTGATGGAGATACCTTTTGTACTGTTTTTTGTACTCTGCACATGTGCAATTTTTCTTTTGGTAGTTTCAAACAGATTAGAGCAGACGTCATATTTGCTTTTTTGTATTTTGTGTAGACATGCATTGGACGTTTTCAGCTATAATGAAAAGGTAATGTGCGGACTTTTGGTGTATGGCTATACCTTTGAGGATGGGGCTGACTCCCAGGTGGGCCTGCATGTTTGGAGTCAGGGACCGCACTTTTCAGAGAGCATTGACACAGCAGAGTGGCTTTCACATGTATTTATCTCAAGCCTATGTTTTTAATCTGCATAGTGTTAAGGCAGCCATACATGCATCAAAATGTGTCTGGTTCAGCAGGGACCAGCCTGTTTAGTTTTTCCTGATTAGTGCCTCAACACTGATCAGTGTGTTCTGACAGCAGAGAAGGCTCCCCGCTGTCAACACACAATAGCACAATAGGAGTGATTACCATTACCCCATCCACATTGAATGCTTGTATGGGGGAATAAGATCCTTTTTTTTTTTTTAACCCAATGGTTGAATGGAAGAAGAAATTATAAATGTGTGACTGACTAGGTTGAAAGTGTGCTAGGGACCCCCTTCGTGCTGGTTTCAAGATTCTGACTAACTATGACTGCTAATCAGAAATTTGTGGAGCAGCCCAGAGGAATCACTTTTTATGTACAGCTACTTAGAAGAGTGATGTTAGTACATTGCCTTATTAGCTGATTGTGATCTGTAGTATAATTTGTTGCAGTGGGGTACAGAATAATAACAGCACCCTCATTGAAGGATAGTGTAGGGCGAGGGAGGGAGGTTGGCTATGCTACCTGTCAGTAGACTCCTTTTGTGACATGGTGTTTGACACGTTAACAAATAACAGCTCAGTAACTATGTATACCCTTTACTGTCATCATGCATTTAGTCTTCAGTCCCTGATAGTTCTATTCTGCCTCCAGATGGAAGAACACTAGGATTTCAGAGGTCAGGTGAGCACAATTTTAAAGAAGACTTACAGGTACTTACAGAGAAAAACATAATGTAGCACTGCCCCCTTAGGGAGTGCTGATGAATTTGGGTCCCTCTATAGCCCTGCACAGTGAGTCAGCAATTTCCACACAAGCTTTCATCCGTAGACTGAAATCAGGCCTTGAGCATTGGTTTTGTCATTTTATTGAGGGGATTAAACTTGGATGGGGTAAGGGGTGTATAGGATGCCCAAGGGAACCAAAATCTGAGGACAACTTCCTGAACTATTCACAGCTTCTTTTCTCTGAAGTATTCTCTGTCGGAGTGCTAGCCAGCAGCTCCAGTTGCACTACCTCAGACCCTAGATGATCTCCTCTTCACCCAGCAATCTGCAGATTTTCTTCCTGCGCAGGGGATCTGGTACCTGTTCCTTTAAATGGGTAAAGGTCACTTGTAGAGGGCTAATATGGTTTCTCACTAGGGTACTCCTTCCTCTATCCACCCAGAGGGTGCAGGTGTACTCATTCAGTTCCTCTCCTGTACTGTTTGCGGAATGGCTGCTGCTACCAGACCTATCAACAGGGCGGCTCCTTCCCTGCCATACAGGTGGTCCTTTCTCAGGGGGCCACTGTGTCCTGAGTTTTCTTCCGTTCCAGCTCCAAGCAGGCCCCATCCCATTAGGCCTCCTGGCAGCCTTCCTCCTCCAGCTTCACATCTTCCTGCTTTTCACACTTCTCCCACCCCCACTCTCTCTCCTGCTACTGGGTAGGCTCTTGCACTTTTAAGGAAGTCCCAGCCCCTTGCCAAGCCTCTTGTTGGCGATTGGCTGAGGTCCCTCAAGAGTGTAACCAGCCACTCTTTAGATCCACCCACTGTCTCCAAGGCCCTCCTCCGAAAGCCTCAGAGCAGGGGGAAATTTCAGGGGGGCCTCAGTCTCTCAGCCCTGACCAGAATTTTACCCCTCTGGCTATCTCACCAGCTCCTAACTAACCATTAGGGTCTAGCTCACCCTAGCTAAACTAGGAGGGGGCTACAGTAATAATATGGAATACAGCAACATATGACACAATGTAATGTTGGGTCAGGCAGTAGCATGGTGTATGACAAATTGAAACTGTGTGTGCAATGTGATTCCTCAATAACTTGGTATGCTACCAAAAGGTAAAATTTCACATATATATATATATATATATATATATATATATATATATATATATTACAGTCCTGTCAAGTCACCTAAATAATGCAAGCAATACAAAGTTTTTTTTATCCCCCCCCCCAATCTCTCAATTGAATATAAACATTTCTCAGTAAGCATCTATTTAGGGAGCCTAACATCTCTTGGCGATTTTAGCCTCTGCACATGCACAGAATACCAAGTCTTCTGATGCTTCTTTTTCCAGTATGTGCCCTGTAAAGGTGCAGCTTAGTTGAATAGCTGGGTGTGCCACTGCCCAATAAACTCTTTGGCAACATCATGGCCTAATCATGACCTCAGCATCTGTAAGATTTCCGTAAAGTTGACTTACAATAATACGTACTGGGCCTACTTTGCTTGTCATTCTTGTTGTGGGGTAAGGGACTCCATTAATAAGTCAAATATTTATATTCATAAATACATATTGGTAGATTTCAGCTTACCTGAAACCTACCACAATGATTGTCAGCCAAGGTCAATGTGAAAGATTTTTCTCTGCCTGTCCTCACCACCATCCCACATAATATATCTAGCATATTGGACCAGGTTTGCCTCAAATGGTTATTGGCCCAGTTGTGAAATCTTTCTCAATATGCCATAATTAAATTGGCATAACTCAGGGTGTGCCTGTATAGATATAGTATTCACCAATAAATGAAAAGTTGCTTTACGTAAGGACAGGCTCCGTACCCTCTAACATAAATCTTGCTTGGTTAGAATTGAAAGAACCAGACTCAATTAGAAAGTACGAGGGATGTCCCTAGGGTTGGTGTCACTCAGTGCGGTAACACTCCTCCGACGATGCCCCCCACAAGATGGATTGGATCATCAGCTTGCAACCTATACGGGGTTAACTGATCTTTCAACTCCAGTCTGGTCTGCACATGCTTGAGAAGTGATGTCAGATGGAGAAGGTCCCTGCTATCATGGCTGCATTTCCTGGTTACAGACAATTCCTGGATCTTGCACAGCCTTACCTAGCTCAGTTAACCCCATATAGGTTGCAGGCTGACGATCCCCGCAAGATGGATTGGATCTGCGGATTGGGGAGCATAGTGGATCAGATCCAATCCATCTTGCGGGGATTTTCGGCTTGCTTTAAAACGTTCCTTTTCGTGGCGCTCTTGGAGAGGGTCCGGTGTCACCCCATGCGATAGATTTCACCCGGTGCGACACGCACCCCCCGCACCTGCCTAGGGATGCCACTGGAAAGTACTGGACCGCTTGTAGCCCAAAGTGGTGTTTGGTCTGTGTGTACAGCACATCAAAGGATAAGCATCCCCAACAAATGCCCTGAATCTTGTACATACACTGGAAGTTCCAGCACTAATGGCTGGAGATTATAATCAATGTAGCTGAACAGGTTGCAAGTCAGACTATGAACTCCTGCTATCATGGGATATCTGACTGTACTGCTGAGGTTTTTGTGTACTTTAAGTGCATGATAGAAGTGTGGATTTACCAGATATTGCCTAAACCGAAGGCTATATTCTGTTTTAGTGAGAATCCCACCCCAAGAGCTTTATGAAAACTGTTAACTTGGTTCTTTCTTATAACTCATCATGGGGTTATTAGGTATTTTATTATGTCTCTGTTTCAGAGAGTAGCCTATAGGTCTCACTTAGATAATGCCTCTGTTTTGTATGACAAGTCCTTCACCTCTTCCCACTTCCCACTGCCTTAGACAATATCTATACCAAATTTGTTTTCCTATTTCGGCACAAGTTTTCAAATTAGAATAGACCAACTGATAATAGGTGGAAACATACTGACCTTTACATCTTTTTGGTGGGGTATAACTATGACTCTAACTGTAGTTTTAGAAACCTTACACTTAACAT